ATGGAATTATAATACAACTAAAATGTTTATAAATTTGAAAACTAAAGCACCAAACATATATTCCATACTTGCTCAGTTAACATTACATGCCAACTACATCACTTATCACACCTAGATATCATGAATAATCAGATATCTTAAATGAGCGTGTACCAGGGCTTAGAGACTGTGTTTTAGTCAGTAGACCAATACATCAATTAATCAGGATAATTCTCCCGGTATTACACAGAGCATCTATGATACACATCTTCTTTCAGTTATAGAATATCAATACATTAGAATTATCTGCCCATGTTAGCCATGCCTACAAAATATCACTGATACAATCTAGAGAGACTAAAAGTTTCGAATTCATAACTTCCCAGTCACTATCAACTCAAAAAACGTTTCAAACAACAATGTACATAAATTGTACCAGACATCTATTTCAACCAAGTTAAGAACATATCTTACAGAATATAAGCAGTGGAATCATGTCCACAAAGTCAGTGCTACACCACAGCAGTGTGATATATGGATATATATAAACCAAACCATCAAACAACATAAATTATGAATACATCTTTATTTAAACAGTCTTTGGTAAATTTTTGTACAGTTAGCATATTTCAAAACACATTCTAATTTAACTAGAGCATCCAACCTTGATTAATAGTAATTCTACCATTAGATTGTAGTCAGAAACTTGGCATTTGTTTCTGCTTTTCATCTGACTACTTCTTAGATACTTTTATGAACAGATTATTGTACAATTACTAGTAGGTCAGTCTTGTGAGTAGATAGATATGTGAGGGGCCATTATCTTTTATAATATACCTTGCCCAACGATTGTGGATCACTGGACAATCCAAAAGTCCTAGAACAGCTTAGGACTGAGTATAAGTCTTAAGGCTAAGCTAGTGTTGCTGGTATAGAGCACAAACAAGTGGTTAGTGTGCTGGACTATGCTACTGCCACAAATATTTGGCTCCTCAATTTGGAGCCATAGGTACATTATAACAGTGATTGTCAAATCCTACTGTTCTATCACAGTAGCCAATAAGTTCACAGTGGGTGGTATTGACTAGCTGCTCTTCCTCTAGTATATCACTTCCAAATCCCCCAGTGGATCAACAGTAAGTCTGCAGGTTATAATGCAAAAAATAACCTATCGTACAGTTTTGTGCTTAACAACAAACAAGGAAAAATCACTTCAAAATTATGGATGGCTAGCACAAATAGCTCTTGAAAAGATTTGTGAGAATTCAACAAATAGCAAACAAACTAGTGTTCTTATAAAACTATTTCTTTATTAATTCTAATATGATAAATACAAAATAGTCAAACTGTAGAAAATAAAGAGAAACTTATGAGTGTGAACTTGTTCAAATAAATTATATGACATCTAAATTTTGTAAGTTACTAAATATAAGTGCTGTGGCAGTCTGTTACTTCTGTGTCAAGTCAAATGTAACAGCATTGCAAATCTCACCAAACCTTCTATTTTGTACACTGATAATTTACTTGTTGACATTCAACTAAAAATGCCACAGAATAATTTTTTGAATTAATAATTTTGAGATAGAAATATTAGCTCCAAGGTGACAAAGGACTTATAATGAAAAGAGGCAGATACAGTAGTGGTGCCATAGTCTGAAATCTTGCAAGGATCTAGTAAAAGTCCTTTTTATTATGCAGGGCATTCTCCTGTACCCTGCCAAGCTATGAAGTAAATTTTGATCTGGCTCCCAAAGCAAGGAGTCAATTTTCAATCAGAGCTCTTCCAAACTGTACTCAAGTTCACTCCTCTTGCTTCCTCTCCAATACATGAAAGAAGAGTATAGTCACAATGATGACTTTGAGGCTGACCATCCTGACACCTTGTTGGGTTTTCTCTACAGGGGTTCAAGCCCAATCATTGGATCAGAACTTTGCTGCTGGTTGAAGTTTCCTGTAGCTAAGAGAATGGAGGTGATACTGAAGTTAAAAAGTTTGCCAGCTGAAGCATTTTTTGTATATTCTTAGACCCCAGCTGAAATACAGATCCTGAACCCATCTAAATGGCCTTGCAATATACAAAATATATTCTACAAGACAAATAAATTGCATTTAAATGCATGCAATACACATAATTTAATGCTAACATAATATTTACAAAGAGCACATAGTTGTTATGAACAAATAATTTACTTTTAACTTATAAAAGTTTATACAGCTTTACTTAAAACATAGTTATGTGTATTCTTCCTTGAAAATTCTTAAAGCAAGCAAACATAAAGCATGTTATATTGATTTCTGAGCGAGGCTACACAACCTATTTTCAGACATAGTTGGTCTCAAGTAAGTTTTATCATCTTTGATTTAGAAGAGCCAGACAGTGGTTAATATGCTGGATTATGGATGTGAAGGTGCATGTCATGTTGCCACAGAGTTTTAAAAAACTTGCTCCAAGCTTTCAGGCCATGAACATGTTATAAGGCTGTCAGTCAAATACCACTATTATATTCAGTTCCAGTAGCCTAAGAGTGGGTGGTAGGTGTTGTTGACTAGCTAGCTACCTTTCCTCTATTTCATTAGTTCACAATTAGAGACAGCTAACAAAAAAAGCTCTTGTGTAGTTTTGAGAATATCATGTAAACAAATAAATCATTAATATCTTAAAAAAAGCTTTCTGAGCTCTGCTGTAAATGTGTATTTGAAAATAATTCCTTAAAGCTCGTTTATTAAATAAATGACACATTTGGAGTGATGTGTATTCAAGTTGGATCATGTGAGACAATCCTTTCATTTCTTGACTTCTGTACCTGAAACGATCCATCTAAAAGAGCAGTTTGTAATTC